CCTTCTGGTTTTCCAGCAGGATTTTTCCTCCTGGTGTTGGGAGCGATTTCCATCCCTGGCGACTCTGCCCCTCTCCAAAGGAAAGCCCCCTTTTTCAGTTGGGATGCGGGGATGAGCTCAGGGACCCATTAATGCCCTAAATGGGAGGGGTATGTGGGGGTCAGAGCTCGTGTGGGACACAGGATATAGGACGTGGGACATGGGATGTGCTGCTGTGTGCATCACTCTGAACATCTTTAAGAATATATATGTAAAATCTCCTATTTTGATGGCAAATTTCTTAAGCCTGTGTGTGCTAACTCCTCCTCTCGCACACGCGGTGGGGAAGTTTTCTCTGTTATTATTTGCCTCTGATATCTGCTGTCAGAGGGGAAAATCACACATAAATCTGGGGAGGGGATGAGGTATCCAGGCATAATCTACCCAGGGAGGCTTCACAGGGCTCTAGGCTGGGGCCTGAGCCATCCCGAGCGTTGCCATCTGGAACTAAAACACCCCAAAATATCAGAATTAAACACTGAGTTTCTGAGCAAGTCCCAGGCCAGGTCCTGCAGAGCGAAGGAGGAGAATAGTGGGGGATTAGGAAAGACCACAAAGGATTTATAGGAGGAGAGAGGGGAGTGGAGTATTTTCTGGTGGAGGATGGGACCTGAGCAGTGTCCCCACACCTGTGTGTCCCCAGGAGTACAACGTGTACGGCTGGTGGGTCGGGGAGCTCGATGACGTGGTGGGCATCGTCCCCAAGGATTACCTGGAAGCTGCCTATGACCTGGAGGAGCGGTGAGGACCCCAGGTGAGAGGTGGCCCCTCTGGGATGCACCCACTGGGGACGAGGTGTAGAGGCAGGTGCTGGGGAGGCGGCTCTGTTCCTGGGGTGCCCCAGCATCCCTGGGGTGCTGAGCCTCAGGGACTGTCTTTGGCTCCATCTCCTGGCCTCTGTTTTACATGGGAACAAGTGAGATTGGGAACCACAGTCACAGTGCAGGGACAGTGCCACCCTGCCCGTGCCGCCCCCTGGACTTCGAGTCCTTCAAGCTCTGTGGAAGAAACGTGGTAAAACCACAGCGGGCACCTCGGTCAGCCCCGGAGAGCTGCGTGTCACCGGCTGTGACACCAACACTAGCACCGAGCACTGCAGATGTGGTGGTTTTTATCCCAAACAGAACCTGTTATGGAGGCATTTAGCAGATGGGGAAACTGAGGCACGGGTCAGGGCTGGAAAGGTGGAAGGGAGCTGCAGGCAGAGCCCTGACATTCACCTGGGGCAGCGAGACCCCACTGGAGATCTCCCATCCTCCTCATCCCCCCGTGCCCATGCGCCACCGATGTGTGAGGCCATGTCAGCCCCATCCTGTGCCTCAGTGTCCCCTTCCCCGCCATCACCTGTGTCTCTCCCTCTCCCCAAATCCAGATCCTTCTCCCTCCCTGGCCATGCTGAGACACCAGCGATGCTGTCCCCACCACCAGCCTCCCATGGGCGCCCATGAAGAGATCCACATCCGTCACCCGGCCACACACGGTGCCCTGTGGTACCCCAGGTGATGCAATCGGGCCATGGCAGGGGTGCAGTAGCCCAAAATAAAGCCATTTTCTTCTCTGCCTTTGGCTGCTCCAGACTTCCTTGCGGGTCAGGAGCCGGGTGCAGGTGGTCCCCAACCTCCAGCGCCAGCTCTGAGCATCCCCAGAGCCCTTTGGTCCAGGCCCATCCACGGCTGAGGATTAACCCAGTGCATCCTCCTCCTCCTCCTCCTCCCGCACTTGGCTGAAGGGCCACTAGATGGTGGTAAGTACCTGCTGACTGCAGCCTTCCCGGGGAGGGTGCCCAAACCCCCTGGGTTGCACTGTAACAGCCCCCCCACAGCACCCCTCAGCCCTGGGCCTGCAGCGTTGGGGTGAGTCGGTGCCGAAACATCGTTATCGTCTGCGGGGTGAGCCCAAGTGTCGGCCAAAGAGCTGCTCCGAAGCGCAGCTGTGCAGGTGTTTGGATGCTGGGTGCAATTTGAGGGACCCCCATGGGACCCTCGAGGCATGCAGGGAGCTGTGGGGATGCAGCTGAATCATCCTGGCACCTCCCATGCATTTCTTTGGTGTGGAGGATGGGTTTGGGATGCCCAGAGCTCAGCTCGGGTCCCTCCGGTGATCCTGAGCTGCTCCTCCAGCCCTGGGTGACCCTGAGCAGCCACAGGAGCGCATGCCAGGGCAGAGGGATCTGTGCACTCAGAAATGCTCCCTCTCCACCCTCCCCATCTCCCTTTCCTCATCCATGAGCACCTTGCAAGGAACGGTTCATTTTTGAGGCAGCTGCAGGGCCAGTGTCCATCTCTCCAGCCCTGGGAGCCCTTTGGGATCCTGCCAGGGAGGATGCTCTGGTCCAGGAGGATGCTCTGGTGCAGAACGGATCAGAGCATGGGCCTGAGCAGACACCTCTGCCCCAGCCATACATATAGGACACATCCCAGCCATTTGCACCCAGGACCATTTCACAGAATCCCAGACCGTTAGGGATTGGAAGGGACCTCAAAAGCTCATCCAGTCCAATCCCCCTGCCAGAGCAGGAACACCCAGATGAGGTTACACAGGATGCTCATGTGGTTTCGGATGCTCACGCATCAGGGAGGCGTCATCCTGCCCCAGGTCCAGCCAGGGTGCCTGGGTTCAGACCTTCATGCTCTGCTTGAGGAGAGGCGATGGGAGCAGGATCCTTTGGCCAAGCACAGGCTGCTCCAGCCCCAGGTCAGAGCAGGACCACCCCCTCCCCAACCCTTGCAACACACAGCGTGGCAGGGGAGTACACACCAGGGTTTGTTTGCAGTGACTCAAGAGCCAGCCTTGCCGGGGGGTGAGGATGCGCTGTCTGGAGAGCCTGGACCGCGTCCAAGCGGCGAGGCTGCTTCTCTGGCAGGCGAAGGGGAGGGGAGAGACGTGCCAGGCTGCGAGGGCGCGGGGAACAGGGGCAGAGTCGGCCTCGCCTGCTCTGGGAGGAAGGAACAAGGTTACACAGGTGATGGGGTGGCAGCTCCATGCCTGGAGCCGACTCCTGTGACCCCCCCAGTACAGCACTCACCTGCAGGCATCAGCCACCGAGGGGACTGTCACCCCCCCAAGGCCATTACCCCAGCAGAGCAGCCTTGCACAGTGCCACCCAGGCAGGACCCCCACCCCAGGGGCTCTCTGCATCCCAGGGTGGGAGCACCCACCGCTGCTCAGCTCATTGTGAGCAGCAGCAAGGGCTGCTCCCCGCTCCTGCTCCCTGGCCAGGGCTGTTTCTGAGTCACTGTTTTTCCCAACAGCTTTACAAAAGCTGATCAACACCACTAAAAATAATTTCCGCCTGGCTCCGAAACGCAGCCAACATCGGGGAGAGAGTGGGGG